CGGCTAGCCTCCTCAGGCATGTAAGCAGCTGGGAGCAATAGCCAGACTGCTATTGGCTATTTTAATATGAAATAGCCAATAGCAGACCGGCTATTGAAACCCCACCCACTGAGCAGAGGAGCGGATCTGAGAGAGAAAGTTGTCCCTCAGTTCCGCTCCTCTGCTCAGTGGGCAGGTGCAATAGCCAGCTTGCTATTGGGTTTTGCAATTTGAAATAGATGGGGGGGGGGGGCCCGGGGGGGGGGGGGGCGCCATGGGGGGATGAGTGGTCGTGGCTGCGCCCTAGGCAGCAGTGCGCCCTAGGCGGCCGCCTTGTTTGCCTAGTGGTAGCACCGGCCCTGACTAGGAGAGTATATAACAGGGGTGCCCACAATTTTTCGTCTGGAGATCTACTTTCCAAATGACGAGCTCAATGAGATCTACCAGCGAAAAAACACCTTTATTTAAAAAAACAAGCACAAATATTCAACCCTCAGCGATTTGTTGAGATTACTCATCTCCATAACATGGAAGAGGGTTCTGTAGCCCACATAGATAACTGGAAACAATGCTAACTGATAACAGCCATCACAGGCATACAGAGGGGTAGCACAGTTGGCCAAAGCTGCATACCTGCCCTACGAGAAGATGTACTCGTAGGAAGCTGGCGTCTGATGGACCATGCCAGAGCAGTCAATGCCAATGGGATATCTCCTCCGTAATCATTGCAATCCTTGTCAATGTCAATCGAAGGCCGAGTTGCACCTTGCCTAGAACCCCACTCAGTCTTCATCCACCTCTGAACAGGTTAAACAGGTAGCAGTGGAGGGACAGGAAAAACGACACTCAGCATGATTCCACTACGGCGTTTGTTTATTAATGCCAAGAGGTCGTACCATACAACGCGATAAATATTCAGCCCTCAGCGAAGCTATAAAACACAACCTCCTAAACAATGTTCCTCTCTTTGAATCCACCTATTAATTATTTACCTGACATGAGCTATTCCGCTAACTTGCTTTGCATTCATTTCTTCGCTGTTTACAATAGCGCAGGTTCCAGGCGATAGGCAGAGCCGGCCGGTGTAGCTCGGCTTTGCTAGAACGTTAATGCGGATGCACTTTGCAAGGTTCCCCTCGTTAGCTCACTTTTTACCCTCTGGAATGAAAACATTTGAGTTGAAGCAAGAAATAAAACATAAAGCAAACAGAAAACATTGGAAGAAAAAAAGTAAAGGACCTCCCACGCGGTCCTGTTGATTTTTGCCATTGAGTGTTGGGTCCCTTCTCTCCTTTAACAGGCATGGGGTGACATTACGGAGGTTGTGCTCTCCCGCTTAGATAAATATACCATCACTTGCACTTCTCATTCCAGATGGGCAAGGCCAAGAAGATGTAGCCCTGATACCCCAAGGCCTGGTCTGTCAACTCTGGCCCATCCATCAGAGTGCCACCCTTACATTGCCCTACAGTGTTCCCATTAGAGTGCCCTCTTACATTGCTTGTCCCCATAAGACTGCCCCATTACATTGCCCCACAGTGTTCCCATCAGAGTGCCCCCTTACATTGCTTGTCCCCATAAGACTGCCCCATTACATTGCCCCACAGTGTTCCCATCAGAGTGCCTCCTTACATTGTTCCCCATCAGGGTGCCCCCTTACATTGTTTGTCCCCATCAGAGTGCCCTGTTACATTTCCCCACAGTGTTCCCATCAGAGTGCCCCCTTACATCCTTACATTGCTTGTCCCCATCAGAGTGCCACCTTATATTGCCCCACAGTGTTCCCATCGGAGTGCCCCCTTACACTGGTTGTCCCCATCAGAGTGCCCCATTACATTGTGTCCCCATCAGAGTGCCGCTTAACTGTCCTCACATGTACCTTTGGGGTACCTTAGCTGGGAAGTGAAGTCAGCAGACACAGCCAGGAGTTGGAGCCACTTGGCTCTCAGGGGGTGGAGCTAGGAGGAGCCAAGAGGCCGGGAGGTAAAGAGGGCTATGGGTGACTGAAGAGGATGGTCGATGCTTCCGTCCTCTTCACTGCTCAGTGGGACACTGGCTGTCACTGGACTGATGTATCCAGACTGCGGTCTGCCATTTTTGGACCCCTGTTTTTAAGAATGCCCTCCTGCACAGTACAGTATAGAATTTGAGATCCTTAGATTTTGTTTTTGCTTCACTTTCAATTTTTTTTTTTTAGGGAGGTGAGGGTGGGAAAGGGAACTTACATTTTTATGCAATGTCCAGTTTATGTAATCAATAAGAATCCTCTAACAACCATCTGACAATACATGTTCTGGAAGTTTCTGGATAGCATAGATAATTCTTAAATATCTTTTGCAGAGCCATTCTTCCTGTGTGACTGGTGCCAAAAAAGAATGTTAGAAATATTTTCTTTCCAGGTTGAGTGTAATATCAGGAAAATACCACATTATGGCCACTAGATGGAGCTGAAGAGCATGGGAAACAAATGCTTCTTTCCTAAGCTCCTCAGCTCCATCTAGTGGCCATAATGTGGTATTTTACAGATATTATTTTGACCTGAAAAGAATATATACTAATAACATTTGTTTTTGCCTCCATTCTCACAGAACAAATATACATGCAGCTCTGCATGACACAACTTTTTTGAAAAACAAATACACCCTTAAGTGATGGGAAATAGCCAGAGAGTGGAGAAGGTTTTAGACGTATTGCTTTACCTGCCAAAGGTTTTTAATGTTATTCAGCTGCTGTAGTAATTCACAAGCCTTCAAGTGACTGCAAAGCCAAGATCAATTTGCTATTCCCTTGTTCAGCTTTACCGCTTCATGGGTGACCTTCCTGTTCACTGGACTGAAGTCGTGATGCTGATTCATTATCCAGGAAACAGGCCAGAGGAGGTGACATATAAAACCGCATAGCTGAGCCTGATAGAGTGTCACCTGCCCTGCAATATAATATGTGAATCATATGACCTGGGAATGCTTGGACGGGTTAGAAAGTTCATATACAGTATATGTATTCCAGCTGTGTATTTTTTCTGTTTGCCTGGAGCTCCTCCTGAAAGCAATTTACTAACTTGCCACTTGTATGTGAAGCTGGGGCATTGCTAGACCCTGGGATCCTGGACATGTGCCCTGGGTCCTCCATTGAGTGCAACAGGTCCCCTTTGCAATGATTGTCGTGGTCATCCCAAGAATGATCCTCAAGATCAGGTGCAGCCAAACATCCGCACTCCAGCTGTGGTTAAACTACAAATCCCACAAAGCATTGCAAGATGGCCACAGGCAGGGCTGTCCCTACTATTTGTGCTACCTGAGGCAGTAGAATTGGGGGTGGAGGGTTAGGGGTAGGCTTGTGGTTCGGGGTGCATTGCGTTGGATGCGGTGGGAAGGGCGGAAACAGCTTTGTAGAATCATTCTGTGAGCGGCTCTCTGTTCGGTTAACTGACGACACTGGTTGCCTGGATCTCGGTGAGATGCCAGACAGAGCATCCCACTCAGCTTCCTGGTAAGCGATGACGTCAGTTAGCTGGGTAAGAAGTTGGACCGGAGCGGCACAGGTTGCTAAGAGCTCTTAGCATCCTGGGGCGCTGTGGCTGTTCCTCTGCAAGTTTATTTTGGGTGTCTTTCTGGGTGCCATATTTCTCTAGCCTGGGGTTGCTGTATAGGTGCCCAGGGGGGGTTGAGTTCATGCAGGACTAAGAATACCTCTAAAAAGTACAGTGCAGTACATCTCCAGGTGCTTGCATGTTGGTTCAGTATTATTCTTCACATGGCATGCCAGAACCATTTGTAATGCACATTTTGATCTCCCCTAGGAAGGCAGTGCTTGGCCTTTCCTTTCAACCTGATGTGCTTCCCTATAGGCCCATCATTGGGATAGACAGTCTCAATTATGAACAGTGAGGCTCAGGAGGAGGTGAGACCAAGTAATGACTTCCTAGATGAATCTGGGGTCTGAGCTACAGAGAGGCCTATGTTTTGGGGATTTCAGAACACTGAACCAATGTGAGGCCAAGCAATGACTTCCTAGATAAATATAAGGTTTGAGATATGGAGAAGCCTATGTTTTGGGGTTCTCAAATACTATTAAAGAATGCTGAACCAATGTGAGCCCAAGTAATGACTTCCTAGATGCATCTGAGGTATGAAAGATGGTGAAGCCTATGTTTTGGGGTTCTTAAAGTGCTCCAAAGAACACTGAACCAATGTGAGGCCAAGTAATGACTTCCTAGATGCATCTGAGGTATGAAAGATGGTGAAGCCTATGTTTTGGGGTTCTTAAAGTGCTCCAAAGAACACTGAACCAATGTGAGGCCAAGTAATGACTTCCTAGATGCATCTGAGGTTCGAGTTGTAGAGCAACCTATGTTTTAGGCTTCTCAAAGTGCTCTAAAAGAATGCGCAAGCAATGTGTGGCCAAGCAATGACTTCTTATGCGAATCTGAGGTATGAAAGATGGAGAAGCCTATGTTTTGGGGTTCTCAAAATGCTCCAAAGAACACTGAACCAATGTGAGGCCAAGTAATGACTTCCTAGACACATTTGAGGCTCGATTTGTAGAGCAACCTATGTTTTAGGGTTCCCAAAGTGCTCTAAAAGAACTCGTAAGCAATGTGAGGCCAGGTAATGACTTCCTAGAGGCATCTGAGGTTCGAGTTGTAAAGCAACCTATGTTTTAGGATTCCCAAAGTGCTCTAAAAGAATGTATAAGCAATGTGCGGCCAAGCAATGACTTCCTATGTAAATCTGAGGTATGAAAGATGAAGAAGCCTATGTTTTGGGGTTCTCAAAGTGCTCCAAAAGAACACTGAACCAATGTTCGGCCAAGTAAGGACTTCCTAGATGCACCTGAGGTATGAAAGATGGAGAAGCCTATGTTTTGGGGTTCTTAAAGTGCTTCTAAAGAACACTGAACCAATGTGAGGCCAAGCAATGTCTTTCTAGATGCATCTGAGGTTCGAGTTGTAGAGAAACCTATGTTTTAGGGTTCTTAACGCACTATGAACGAAGAACTGATATGAAGGCTCTTGGAGGTTATTCCATCCAAACCACACGTTGGTAACTTATTTGTCAACACAGGTACAGTTCAGATAGTAACTTTTATTGAATGATTAGTTATATTTTCATTGTTTCTTTCCATAGGGAGAATAACTTCATTAAAGATTTCCCACAGCTGGCAGATGGACTACTTGTCATCCCACTCCCTGTAGAGGAACAGTGCAGAGGTGTCCTCTCGGAGCCAAGACCTGACATATTACTTCTTACAGGTAGCTGAAGTGTTCGTAAACCCACCTTTACTAAAATGCACCTAGGAGAATACCTATAAAAGTTGATATGAGTAACAGCATTTTAATCACTTTGTGATCCACTCAACTTCTGAGGTCTCTGTGCTCTTCCTGTAGTTCAGCGACAATGCTAATCACAGGCTAGCAATGCTATGCTAGCCTTCATAGCTTCTTCTCTGTTCTTCTGCTGTCCGGCCTCCATGTGGTTGAATTGCTATGGTAGTTGGAAAAGGGCAGAAGACTTTAGGTCTGGGGAAACTGGTAGTGGTGATCTGCTGCCTGCCCATGGCCCTGACCCTTCAGAAATGTGCAAAGGAATGTATCGGTCGTACGACCATTAAAGTAGTGTGCAAGAAAGGTATCTGAAAGCTTGGTTGGTGGGTGCATGCGGAAAGTAGGGGCCTTCACTACACCCTGCCTGCCTAGGATGGACAGAGTTCACATATACTCTCTAGGGATGTCTTGATACCACTTTTTTAAGACCAAGTACAAGTACTTTCTGATACCAATTACCAAAACTTTTTCTTAAAGGGACATGTGACATTTTTTTTCTAAAACAATACAGACTGATGATTTTATGGCAGTTTTTCAACAGGGCTAAATACAGATGTCCCCAGAACTGAATACATGTCCCCACAGCAGAACACATGTCCCTAAGGCAGAATAGTATTCTGCTTTGGGGACATGTATTCTGAGAATCCACATCCAGACCATCTCCATCGACCATCCGGTCAACTATCTTCGCAGTTGGGCCCCCCAACCTTCATCCATCTCCCGCCCCAGTCCTCCATTGTCAGTGAGCGGCGGGAACCCCCAGCATCCAGCCCTGGGGCTGCACCGCCGGTAGTACCGCTCCCCGGGATGTCCAGGCACTGCCATGAACAGCTATCTGCAGGTCCCCAGTAGGCTCCCGAGGTCCCCACAAGCCCTGGAACTTGGACAGCTGCGGCTGTTAAAAAATTTAAAGGGCCGGTATCGGCATTAAGAAATGGAGCATTTTCACGAGTACAAGTACCCTTTTTCCCTGAAAATAAGACCTACCCCGAAAATAAGACCTAGTACTATTTTTGGGAATTACTAAAATATAAGACCTACCCCGAAAATAAGACCTAGTTGTGACCATTGCCAGGGCTGGTGGTGGCATAAGGGGGAACCTGAAGAGCCGCGTGAGAGAATGAGCGGTGCCAATGAAGCCAGCACTAGAGGAAGTGAGGCAGCAAAAAAAAAAAAAATATGATTACACAGCAATTATAAAACACAATGCTACTGCAGTGCGGCAAAGAGCGCAGACATTTCACTGGTCTCTGGTGATGAGTCTGGTTAGAGTAGGCACTGGGACAGTTCTATAAAGCTCCTTTCCAGAAGATGTTTACAGGACAAGGGGTCCAGGAATTCTCCAGCAACCTAAAGTAACAACAATGTCCTAGTTTTTCAACTATGCCCCATTGAAATCCCAAGCAGCGCATGTCCCTGGTTGGAAACCTGTAGTTGAGGAGGCTTACCTTGCATCTCGTGTCCCTCACCCCTGAAGATGGGAACAGAGGATGAGTGACAGTGAATAGCACGCGTGCCAAGCGTGGTGCAGACACTGTGCTGGGATGAAAGTCCAGAATCGGGAACAGGCGCAGGTCCAACAGAGCCAAGGTCAAGACAAGTGAGCAACAGGGTATCGGAGCAGGAGACAGGAGCGTGGTCAATGGAAGCCAAGGGGTCAAAGCCAGACGGGCAGCGAGGTACAAAACAGAAGGCAGGAGCATGTCCAGTAAACAGGTTGAGGTTGGGAGGGAGACAGCAATCAGGGGGGGTCAGGATGATGCGGAGACTCTGCTGGGATGAAAATCCAGAATCAGGAACAGGTGCAGGTCAAACGGAGCCGAGGCCCAGCCGAGCGGGCAGCCGGGTACCGGAGCCGAGGCCAAGCCGAGCAGGCAGCGAGGTACCGGAGCAGGGGACAGGAGCGTGGTCAATGGAAGCCAAGGAGTCAAAGCCAACCGGGCCGCGAGGTACAAAACAGAAGGCAGAATCAAGTCCAGTAAACAGGCCGAGAGGCAGGCAGCAATCAGGGGTGGTCAGGAACATTCCGGGTCAAGCACAGGAAGCAGGCATTCAGGACAAAATCACTGGCACACAAGGAACTTCCTGAAGACCATCCAGCAACTAAGGATATGGTAAGCTCATTTAAATAGGCCAATCCATTAGAGGGAGAAGCATCCCTTCCTGTGCGACGGACGTGCGTACGTTTCCGTGTGCACGTCCCGTTGTGCACACATGCGCACAAGAGCATGTTTCCCAGTCACACGAAAAATGGGACCATGCGCATGCGCAGAAGCAGTCATTACAGCGTGGTTACAGCATGGTTGCTTCTACCCAGTTATCCCTGCTGGCCTACAGAGCCCCTCCACATGTGTTATAAAGATGAGGAGAGCTGGAGTTGTAGTCCAGCAGAGGAGAAATGGGCGGGGCTGGCAACACTACTTGAGATTTCAGTGCAGCAGAGGCAATGTTATCGGCTGACTAAAGAATTTCCATTCAATAAAATATATATATATTTTTTTTAAATGTTGAATTAATTCGATAAAGCACGTAACATTTTTATACTGTTTTTATGTCATTTTATTAAAACGTGTTTTAAGCTACTTAAAGTTTATTTTGCGTCATTTTTCGGGCTATGAGATTATATTTAGCCTTTGAGAAAAGGAGAAGCGGTGAAACGTTATTACCTGGTTATAATATGAAAAGGAGGAATTATGGAGAACCCAACTGATTATCTCAGGAGAGCTCCACCCTGGAGTCAGTGTGGAGGCCAGTGCAGCAGGGAGCTGCGGGTTTGTGAACCATATTGAGAGGATTGGCATGTTATTGCCGTTGTCTGGAGGGACCAGACAGTGGTCCTAAAGATTGAGGCCGGAGCAGCAGTGCTGCAAGAGAGACTTATGAAAAGACTGGGACACCTTGAGTGTACGGGACAACTCGAGGATTGGAGAGCCCTTATCTGTTATATGCTACAGCAAGCTATTTATGTTGGATTTCGTGTTATCTACTGTTTTGAAAGCAAATAAACTGCATTTTACTTGCACCTCCGGTCTACAGTGGAGTGTCCTTGTTAGAATATATATATATCTTTAATATACAATACATACACTATATTGCCAAAAGTATTGGGACGCCTTTACACGCACATGAACTTTAATGGCCTCCCAGTCTTAGTCCGTAGGGTTCAGTATTGTGTTGGCTCCGCCCTTTGCCGCTTATAACAGCTTCAACTCTTCTGGGAAGGCGTCCAAAAGGTTTAGGAGTGCTCCTATGCATCCAAAGGAGAGCAGAGACCTTTGGATGCTCTGTTATATATTTACACTTTAATATGTCAATTAAAATAGGACTACGGTCACATTGCTTTCATTCACCACCCCCCTCCCCTCCTCTCTTCTCTTCTCTCTATTATTAGGTGAAGTGCGGTATAACGAAGCCATGGGATATCCTGTAGTCCAGCAATGGAGGGTGCGGAGTAACTTGTACAAAGTCAAACTCAATTCAATATCACTGTCCGCAGGTCGGTTGTTTTCTGTATTGTCCTATTTTATTGTTACTTTTTAGACCTGAACTCCGGCCATATATAAAACGGCCAAATTCATGCAGCTCTGTATTCATCAATAAGTGATCATTATTAATAAATACAGCCAGCGTACCTTATTTTGACTTGGGTATGCTACCCAAGTGCATGTGGGTACACTATCCAAGTGCATATGGGTACGCTACCCAAGTGCATGTGGGTACACTACCCTTGACAATGCATTGCCTTGCAATACAGTGCATTGAAAGAGCATTGCATACTCTTGCAATGCACTGTACTTAGACACTCAGAGTGGAAGCGGTCATGTGTGCTGCAGGCAAATGTGTCAACAAATGTGTCAACAAAGAACATGCTGATAGAAGGAGGGAGCACAGTGAGCAGAGGGAAGAGTTCATCAGTGTGATGCTGCTCTTTCAATGGTCACGAGGTTGGTTGTAGAGAGAGGACTCTACTGTGCTCCTTAGCTATAATTGGTGTCATCTGCCTGGCTGTGCTGTGTGGCAGAGCTTTGTAAATCCCCTTGGACTGGATGGACAGGAATACATATCCTTTGGCAGGTGAAACAACTCTCCCATATGTATGCTATCTGTGCAATCAGCCGTTTTCCTGGAGTTCAGCTCAGACACACCATATTCATACTTGTCAACACGGATCAACGTAAGTATGCATCGGTAGAGGGGGAGGGTGGGTTGGTTTAGGTCAGGGCAAAGGGGAAAAAAGGATAAGTGCACATGTCCCCTTTGCCCTGACCTAAACCAACCCACCCTCCCCCTCCACCAATGCATACTTACCTAGGTCCAACGGCATTAGCCCTGGTGTTTCTGCCGCACTGGCTGTTCCTGTGCATTATAGCCCCATCAATTGCTATAGGCATTTGTCCGGTATCTCCATCTCCATGCCCCCCAGAGCCCCTTAGAAACCAATGTGCTGTAATGCACAGACATGGCCAGGAGAGTGAGATTGGTGTCTGTGGGTGTAAAGGAAGAGTGAAAGTACGGCCAGCATATCAAAGTAAGTATGCATCTGTAGAGGGTGGTTTAGGCCAGGACACAGGGCCAAAAAAGGTGAAATTTCCAAACTTTCTAGGCACTGTCCTCTGGTCTTTAGATCCATGAACAGTCTAAGGAAGTATGACAATGAATTACAGACATAATTTGTTATATCGGTTTTTGGTTTATACACTGTTTGTGAAAATGTTTGTGGACACCTGGCCACCACACTTATATTAGATTGTTGAAGATCCCTTTCCGAAACCATGGGCAATAATATGGAGTTGGTCCCCCTTTGCTGATCTAACAGGCTCCACTTTTCTGGAAAAGGTTTCCACTAGATTGTGGAAAGTGTCTGTGGGAATGTGTGCTTATTGAGACAAAAGAACATCTTGGAGGTCAGGTACTGATGCCGGATGAGATCTGGATCACAATTATCTCTCCATTTCATCCCAAAGGTGTTCAGTAGGGTTGAGGTCAGGTACTGATGTTGGATGAGAAGACCTGGTTCAAAACTGACCTTTCAATTCGTCCCAAAGGTGCTCAGTAGGGTTGAGGTCAAGACTCTGTGCAGACCACTCAAGTTCTTTCACACATCAAAGCATGTCTTTATGGATCTGACATTGGTCATCTTCTAAACCATTGTCACAAGGTTGCAAGTAGACATGTGCGATTCATTTCGTTCCGAATCGAAATTCGGACGAATTTTTGGAAATTCGGACATTCAGATGTATCCGAATTCCAGACATAACGAATGCAAACGAATCCGAATTTCCATTTCCGAAATTCGGTAGCGGTAGTTCGAACGTTCGTTTCGTTTTCGTTTAGTTTCTTATTCGTTTCGTTCGTTGGAGCAAAGTGACATTAGAGAAGGAGAAAAATATTTTTCCCCCTCAAATGTCACGAACGAACGAAACGAATAAGAAACGAAAACGAAACGAACGTTCGACCTACCGCTACCGAATTTCGTCCGAATCCGAATTCCGAATCCGAATTGACTTTCACACCCGAATCCCGAAAAACGAAATAACACAAATCCGAATTTGAAACGAAACTAAACAAATTTTTTGGCAGTGCACATGTCTAGTTGCAAGCACTCAACTACCAGATGAATGTAGGCTGTTGCCGTAGCAGTAAATACAGTATGTTTGTGAAGGGGGGGGTGGGGGAGAAGGCACCATATTAATTGCACATGTTTTTGGAATGGGATGTCCAACAAGCTCATATACTGTAAGTGTGCTGATCAAGTGTACTCTAACATTTGGCCATTAGCCTATTATTATGCAAAATGCTGTACAGCACTAAACCAGAATGTTGCCCTTGATGTCTAATTTGATATGGTTGAGGATCACTCATAATCATATGCACGGCTAATAGAATAATAGATACCTTTGCAGGGAAATGACTGCATACGCATTTCTTTTTACAGGGTTTGCCAATGTTCTGAAGGTCATAAGTTCTCACAGTAGTCGGGAAGAGCTGCAGAGCATACTCCAAACATATGGCACGCATTATATTTCGGAGGCACTCTACGGTTCAGAGCTCACCTGTACCATCCGATTCCCAAGCAAGAAAGTCCAGCAACAACTTTGGCTGCAGTACCAAAAGGGTAGGAAACCTCTTACAGGTCCTATAGGCTTAACTCTGGGCATTAAAAAAAAAACAATTTCAATATTTAAATACTTTTCTGGGCTTGTTTTTTTACACAGTACATGGTGGTTGACTTCAAAAAAAGAAAGCCACACCTCCTTCACATCCTTTTTTTCCCCCATCTTTTAAAAAGCCACTTGGATACATACTCAGCAAGCCAAAACACTTTGTTCTCCTTCTCTTATGTTTTTCACCCCAACAGGGACTTGGTCATATACTAGCCCCTATGACTATGCCCTTTCAAACAAGTTGAAGGAGATGGAGCACGATTGGTGGAGAGCTCATGGCTTTGGCTTGCTGTGCATGTATCCAAGTGATTGCTGTGCATGTATCCAAGTGGCAATAAAGCCTTTTGAAGTATTGAAGAATAAAAGGATGTGAGGGCAGTGTGGCTCTCTTTATTTGAATTCAGAATCAGGGAAGAATGGGCCCCATTGAGGTGGCACCTGCAGTTGGTAAGCTGAGCAGAAGACCGCCTGACGCGATATCCTTTGTATGTATTTAAATTAATATACCGTATTTGCCGGCGTATAAGGCGACTGGATGTATAAGACGGCCCCCGACTTTTCCACCTAAAACATAGGTTTTGGGCTATACTTGTCATATAAGACTACCCCACTTCCGAGGAAACACCATTTAAAAACATCATGGATGGATGTGCGGTAATACTGTATGTACGGTAGCTTCGGCTACATACAATATACCACGCTGAGCCAATCACGGCGAGCAATGTATTCTATTAATGAATACAAAGCCTGCTTGGATTGGCAGAGGTTGTGTACATCGCTCGCCCTAATCGGCTCAGCGCGGTTTACTGTATGTAGCCGAAGCTACCGCACATGCAGTATTACCGCACATCCAGCGGGCTGACAGATTACGGATTTTCGTTTTGGGCCACTTTGGCCCAAACAAACTAAAGGTATACGTTGTATACCCGGCGTATAAGACGACCTCCGATTTTCAGGGGATGTTTTTAAGTATAAAAAGTAGTCTTATACGCCAGCAAATACAGTATGTGGGTTGTTTTAAAACTTGTGCCAGGGTTTCCAAGAGTTAAACATTTCTTTGAAGGACTTTATATACTGTTCTTGTATATTTTTCCATGTCAAGAATGTATTCAAGTTACTGATAGGTCCCCTTTCAGAACCACCATATGGAACCAGCCATACAGGTATGCTGCTGTGAAGTCTGCATGCTTCTGGTTGGGATCCCAGATTACTTTCTTCTGGGTCTTCCATTATTGTGAGTTCCTACGGAGATCTGTAAGGATGCATTTTTTTTGTTACCTCTTTCTACTTTGTGGGACCTTGTGGATTCAGCATGGAGTTTGATATCCAATATTGCTTAGATGAGTCAATACTAGATGGCCCACTCTGTCGTCCATACAGCCTTTCAAGCTGTACTACTGAGTAAATCTGGATATGGTGGGTCACAAAGCTTATGAGGGGTGTTTGTGATTTGCTACAATGTAACTGGAATCTATAATCTGGTTATCTATCTTAAGGTGATTGCTGTTGATCTTGATTATTGGTATTCGCTTGAAATTTTTGGAGGCTTATTGTAATGAACATATATATATATATATATATATATATATTTATCCTTTGCCATCTAGTTAAATATAACACTGAAACTATTTATATTACAGGAGATATCCGTAATTTTGGTTACTTGCTATAGGTGTGGTTTTAGATTAAAGACCTAGTCCAGGAGACAGAAACTGGGAGAATGTTACATGAAAAGGCTAAAGATCATTGGCATTACATCCCCTTTACCAATTAATGATTCCACTACCAATACTGGCTAGTGAGACCCAAAGTGCTACATAAAAACACCAAAGGGTTGCATGTGGCACTTGGGCCCCGCGTTGGGCGCCATAGTCCTAGGAGTCCAACCACAAGTCTTAATAGTTGGGAACAATTAAAGCAGCTCTGTAAAGGAAATTTATAAAATGAGAAGGTAAAGACTCCTCGGGGCCCAGCAAAGGTCCACAGACAGAGGGTCCTTACCTCTGTGTAAGATCTGACCATACCAACCTAAAACATACATGAGTCTTTTTCTCTTCACATTTCCAGGCAAACAGGACAGCAAAGGAAATGTAATTAAAGAGAGTGGGAAGGGTGGCACTTTATTGAACCCATTGCTTTATTCTGCAAAAGCAAAGCACTTGTTCACTTTATGCTTTGCCCTGAATATTGGTTTTATTGTAGATTCTGCCATTTAATCTGTGCCTGTTAATTTTTCATCGTGTAAATTCTAACCACCAGTCATGGCCCCTCCGTGAGGGAGGAAAGCCAAAGAAGCCCGTGATTGGATGAAATGGATCAGTGGTGGTGGACCTTGGACGGGACACCAGTGATATGGTACAAGCTTCAATAAACTATCCCCGTGGAATCCGGTGTGCGGCCAGCTTTTCTTCTGCCACTGTTGTATGGGCACCAGTCATGGCTACTCCCTCTGCACGGCATTATCACTCCAGTTATATATGTGAGTTTGCTTATATGATGGTCCTGAGTAGGGATGCACCGACACCGTTTTTTCGGTATCGAGTACGAGTACCGATGTTTTAGTACTCAACCATGCCGGTACTTCCTCTAACATGGAGCCGGCTTCCCTGGCAATCAGGAAACCGTGCTTTTTGGCTGGCTCGATGCTGATTGGCCAGTTTCTTGGCCAATCAGCATGGAGCCAACTTCTCGGCCAATCAGGAAGCCAGGAGGTAGGTTTTCCCCTGCCAAGCGCTAGAACCCCTGCATGCCCTATCACCCAGTATAAGATAAGATGAGAGGAGAGTGCACACTTATCACAGCATCAGTCGAGTTTGGATCCTCCACTCCACTTTCCTCCACTTCTGCTAGTCTGATGCGTCGATTGTGTGACATCGCTGCAGATCTGCCACCTGCTCCTTGTAAAGATGCAGAACAGTGTGGCGCCAGCTTCCCTGCCAATCAGGAAGCCGGGTGGCGGGTCATCAGCTTCCAGCCAAACAGCATTGAGCTGGCCGGCTGCATGCTGTTTGGCCAGTTCAACGCTGATTGGCTGGAAAGCCAGCTTCCTGGCCAATCATCAGCTTCCAGCCAAACAGCATTGAGCTGCATGCTGTTTGGCCAGTTCAACGCTGATTGGCTGGAAAGCCAGCTTCCTGGCCAATTAGCATGGAGCCGGCCAAACAGCATAAAACCAGCTTCCCAGCCAATCAGGAAACCAGGTGGCGAGTCATTATCCCCCACCCGGCTTCCTGATTGGCCAGGAAGCCAGCTCCATGTTCCCTCGCGGCACTGCCAGTCAGAGGAAATTTCCATCTGACTGGAAGTTCCGATATCGGAGGTAAGTATCGGAGTACTCGCCCAAATACTCGGTATTGGCACTGATACTAGTGTCTGTATCTGTGCATCCCTAGTCCTGAGGAAGCAGCCAAGACAGTGCTTAAATCATATTGAACCTTCTGTATTTAGGACTGTGATGCAATAATGCTGCATTACATGCTCCTCTTTTAGGTTATTCTTTTTTTTTTTTTGCTATGTACCCTGTAATGTCAGCACATTGGAGAGTCGGGACGCTGCTCTCAAACTCAACACAGTGTCTTGGTTCTCCAGTGATCCGACGTGCCTCCTGCACACCACTCCAATCAACTGCACTGCCCAGGGAGCATGAGTATTGTTGATTGTAGCAGTGTGCAGGTCAGCTTCGGGTGACTGGAGATTCAGGCCACCACGTTATGTGAGAGCAGTGGTCCGACTCTCCAATGTACAGGATATTTTAACCCAAGCTGCAGTTTTTAGCATTATACTGTGTATATATATATA